CTGTCTACCTTTTAAAAACCAAAATCTCACAATAAGCTCAACTGTGAAGCCCTTTAACTAGGCAGAAGTAGGTGGTTTTGATAAATTATGAGGATAATAAACGAATTGTTCCGGTGCTCGACTCTTTTTCTTCTTCAAATTAACAACGTCTCCAAGGGCAACTATTCCATGTCGACTTTGCAGAAGTATAGGCAGGATGACACCTAAGCTACACGACAATAGGGCAACTAACCAATTAGGAAGGACAGCACTACCGTTGAAGGTACTTCGTGCCTCGCTGACCGGCATGGACTGTAGTTTTGGTCTACGCGGGCATTTATTTAGAGGGAAGGAGACTTGCTCTGCGCCTCTGTGTCATTTGCTCTTCTCACATCCATTGCATTCCGGTGGCAAAGCTAAGCGGCCCGTCCACACTTGCGCGCCCCGTGAATTGCGTCTTGGGTGAAACATGAGTATGGGTGTCGCAAGAGCCACATGAAGGAGTAGTTGCTAACCAACCCTCAGGCAAAGTTGTCGTGTCGGCTGATAACCTTTCAGCCGACGACTCTCAGTCCGCTGTAACATTCACGATGCGCGTGCTATTGGTTATAGTGAGTACGAGCTGGCTCTACCGCGTCCCAGATTCCTACTTCCATCCACCAGTCGCCTAAGTGAGTCGATCTGACTAGTTATAAGACTGGGCACGATGTTTGACGTGACTTGAAATCGTCGTCTACGCGTGCCACACACTGACTCGGATTACACGCAGGTGGGAGAAGCCATAAAGGACGCGCAATGAAGGGTATGCTGCGGCCTGATCCACGGTCCGCCTTCTTCTTCTTCTTCTTCTTCTTCTTCTTCTTCTTCTTCTTCTTCTTCTACCTGGGAACCTTTGCGGGCGTCGTAGTAGTTTTAGGCATATCGGATCTGTTATGGTGGAGAGCACCGGGTTGTCGTGCGCGCGGATAGTTCACCAGCGGCTTCTTCCTCTCTCGCTCATCCCGCTCCCCCCCCCCCGGGAGTCTTTCGGTCGAGTGACTATGAGAGCGGACGCAACAATATCTGCCACTGATAATCCCCTCGGGACATGCTGTCAGTTCTAATGCAACCTCTGCAGGCTCCACAGCAACACATTGACAGGGGAAGGGGTGGTAGCGGGCGTGGGATTTGGACCATTCTGAAGCAATCTAGCGCAACACACACTTCGTACTCTCACTGTACTCTCAGCACTCTACTGCGGCGACATCGAGTCTCGTCGGGGGTTGATGAGATTGCGGACGCTAGCAGAGCAGATATTCACCCCGCTTCCAGGATGCAAAACGAATGTTATTCCCCAAGCTTACTTTGACAGGGCTTTGCTCAGACCGCATTAGACGCCTGACGAAATGGTCCAGATTAACATCAAGACTGTTTATTTAAAACAGGCGTATACAGCAGAAGTAACTGGCACCAACAGTAAACGCCAATGAACTTATTTGTAGTATATCTGACATCAAACTTAATAAGCTGCGAGCAAAGGCTTTATCACTTGGAATTGACTTTTGTGTGCCGAAAAAAATAACTAGACCCAGTTGAAATTGAGGTCCAATTTGAGGACTTGAATTATCAACTATCTGACCTAATACACAGATCCGCTGGCGACGTGGGATGGATGGAAGCAAAATTTGTGGATATTTGGGTCGACTCTTATTTCGTAGCCGTACCTGCAGTTTACAAGCCCCATCCTAACCCCTAACCCCAACTCCCAGCTTTAACTCCTAACCTTTAACCCCAACCCCTAACCCCAGCTCCTAACAGGTACGGCTACGAAATAAGATCGTGACGATATTTGTCATCTGTATCGTAAAGCTCCAATAACGAAAACAAGCTCAATAACTAAAGAACACACAGTTGCCCTAACTGCGTTGAAGAATCGCGAACAAATAATAGCGTTCGCCAACGGTATGGTGAAGTATCTCACTTAACTATCGGTAGATTGTGGATCGTGTCATACGGGAATGCTGGTAATGAGAGTTTCAGGGGTGGGACAGCACGTCAGACAGTAAACTGATGAAATGCAGGAAATTGTTCGTATTTCTGCCGAAAGTCTTATCGCACGCTTTCGCATGGCAACAGAAATGAGCCCGTTAATTAGAATATACACAAAAAGCAAATTTTAAAAATAACGAGTTTTGTGTATTAGTTTGAGGTCATGGGAAGTAACTATTGTTGGCAGTAAAGTCTGCAACGGCCCGCAAATGGATGCCAAGATAAGACCTCATATGACACGATCGACAGTCTACCGAAAGCTAAGTGGGGCCCTTAATCCTACCGTTGCCATAATTTCTAAGGTTGTCATCGAATTGTCATTCCTAATCTGAGGGACTATGAAACAAAAATGGAATCCATTCTAAACGATCAGAATAAATATCGTCTAGAAACGCCAGGGGAAAATGAAACCAAGGCATAGGATGACTCCGACTGGAAAATAGTTACACATTTGTTCGACAAAATCTGATTGCCACTAAAACCGCGCTACCAGTAAAACCGAGGGGCACATGTGTTCGCAGAATATACGGATTGTTAAAAACGCCTAAAAAGGACATACCTCTACGGCCAATCCTGTCTATTTCAAATTTACCCCAACACGGACTAGCGCAGTGGCTTCTCAGGGAATTAGAACCAGTCCGACATTGGTTTTTGACTTACACGATAAAAAGACATTTTTCATTTTACTAAAGAAATTAGACATCAAAATATTTCCAACAAATGCATGCTTTCCCTGGACATTGTATCACTATTTACAAATGTACCACTTGATTAGACAATAAATGCCATATTCGCCCATGCGGCTGGAAACCGTCTGTCACCCGAAATACTGCGTGATCTGTTGAAATTATGCATGAAAAACGCTCAGTTTCTCTTTAATGGACAACTATACAGGCAAATTGACGAAGTGGGAAGCCCACTAGGTACAACCTTTAGCGATATTTTAGTGGGTCACCTAGAAGGAAAGTTTTCATCTAAAATGAACATGAAAACACTATACAGAAGATACGTGGGTGATATATTTGCGACTGTTGATATCACCGAGCAAGCCAAAGACCTACATATTCTTATGCAGAGTTT